GTGGTAGGAGGTGAGGAAGTTGTGGTTGATGTAGAGGTGGTTGCGGTAGTCGGAGAGGGAGTTGTAAAAGTAGTAGTGGTAGTCGTAGAAGGAGTTGCGGTTGTAGTTGTAGGTGGAGAAGCAGTCGTGGTTGTGGCAGAGGAAGCAGTAGGTGGCATGGCAGCCGTGGTGAGCGCCGTCGAGGAGGCCGACTCCTCAGGGACAGACGAGACAGTGGAGAGGGAGAGAGACATTTCTGTAGCCATAGTTGTAGTTGGCAGGGTTGCTGTAGGGGAGGGCAGGGGCGCGGGCGGGGCTTGGCTTACCATTGGGATAACCCAGAAGATGGTTGGGGGAGGGGCAAGAGGAGGAGGAGGAGGAGAGGTAGAGGGAGGTAAAGGAGGAGGAGGAGGAGGAGGACGAAGGGGCCGTGGGGGAGGAAGAACGGCATGCAGCCACTGATTCTGGTTTTGGTTCTGCGTCTGGCTAATTTGGATGAAGACACGGCGTCCTGCTGGGTCTTCGTCTGCCGGGTCTTCTGCGCGCCCCCCTTGCCCTGCCGAAGGAGGACCCGACGTGTCGCTAGGATATTCCAGGATTCCGGAAGGTTGGCGTCCTGGTGCATCCTGGGTCGCTGGGGGAGGTGGTGGCAGTTGCATCCTGTCGTGACCTGGAAAATTGGAGACTGGGTTTAGGTTCCTGACTGTCAGCGTAGGAGGAAGTCAGCCTACGTCAGCGTTATTTTAACATAAGGCCTGACACTTCTTTCTCATTAGGAAAATACTGTTATTTTACCATAAAACTTGACCTTTTCCATTAGGAAAATGCTATTTTAACATAAAGCTTGAGACTTCTTTCTCATTAGGGAAATACTGTTTAATTACATCTGCTTATATCTCTAAAGTCTATCGCTTTTCTTTCTCCTTAGAAAAGAATTTCATTGTTTACTTATATCTAGAGTTTGTATACTGTTTGGAAATGGGAATTTTTCAGCTTTCTTACCTTGTCGACGATATTTGGTCTTTAGACGTGAAATATTTCTGTGTATTATTTATGCACGGGGTCAAACAAATCATACAGTATGCTCACAAAGCAAATTTATTTATAAATTCATCAAGGAATTATTGGCAAAACGGTACAGAAATGAACACAAGAAAAAAGAACAATCATAGTATCTACAGAAATAAAAGTATAAATACAAAGCATATAAATAGAGCAAAGTAATGCCATTTAAAGTGGGGTTTAATACCAACGATCTCACACTTGAAATGCGTCATGGTAATGCCGGTCATAATAATCATATACAAAATAACAGCAATTATAGGTTTGCCGTGATAAAGCTGTAAATGGTATTACGGTAAATATATTTTCATACATCGTAATAATGATAATAATGATAAAGCTGAAATAACAATAGCAAAGTTTATACAAGACACATGATGATAAGAATGATAATGATGATGAGGGTGATAACAAACAACAGTAATGATGATACTGGTGGTGATGGTGAATTAGATAATGTATTATTCTATCAATATATATATATATATATATATATATAATTCGATCATAAGTACCTAAATAAGGAACTGCATAAAGACAAAATAGAAATTTATATGATGGACACTAAAATATATATTTTTTAATTACTATAATTATTGATATTATCCACATCAGAGTCAGCGAAGCCAACACTATCACACACGATGAAACAAATGTTGACGATGATTAATACATACATAACAAAATTAGTGAAATGTATTGAAAAGATAGATTCAGATTATGATGATAAAGGTAATAAAGTCAAGTTTAAATTAAGTAAAGCGTTACAAACACACACCTAGGCAAATCCATGTACACATCCACACAGATGCAAGCACTATACAACCTGTAGGACAGATGCTTAAGTGAAATTGACTCGGTATCAAAATGCGAGAAATATATATATATAAAATAGCAGACACTAAAATTTCCAAATCCTATTCAGTGAGAAATCCATCGAGATAATGCCCAAGCTGCATGTTCCACTGTGCAAATATAGTACTCCCAGGCGCATGAATTAGGTAAGGAAATATATAGTACAGTTACTAAGATTATAACACTCGCGCTTATACAGTACACTATAAACATTTTTAAAAATAGCATCACTATCGTTGATCTATTTTTTTCTTCACATTTTCTATTTTCGCGTTTCGTGTCATATTTTTTTCCTACATGCTGTTGTATACGCTTACTTTTTTCTTTGTTTTTATATGGATATTTGCATATTTTTCTCATTATAAGAGTTCATTCCGAGCCGATCGCCCCAGCAAGCGCCTCGCCCAGCCACTAAATCTATCGTTACCTCTCTGACGACCGAGGACATTCCCTTGACCTTGGTTCTCGACCCTTTGCACCCCGTGACCTAGATTCCCATACCCTCCCTGCCATGGGTTCACAGGGCTTGACCCCATATGACCTGGCATATTATATCCCGACCCCATATGGTGGTCAGAATCTCCTTTATTCACCTTATCGTTAGAAGAGGGGAAGACGGAGCCCCAGAATGACCCAGCTTGACCTGACGGGACCTGCGCTAGCCCCACGGCCGTCTGTGACTGCGTGCGATGGACCCCTGGGAGAATTCCAGGGAAAGGGGGGGCAGAATCTGTGACCTCTGACCTGTGGGGGTTTATGGGGATTAAAGGTCGTTTTGTTGTTGTTGTTGTTGTTGTCTTCTGGGTAGTGGTAGTAGTAGTAGTTGTTGTCGTAGTGGGGGTTGTGGTTGTGGTAGTTGTAGTGGGGGTTGTGGTAGTGGTTGTGGTTGTGGTAGTTGTAGTGGGGTTGTGGTTGTGGTAGTTGTAGTGGGGGTTGTGGTTGTGGTAGTTGTAGTGGGGGTTGTCGTTGGAGTGTTGGAGGCAGTGTTGTTAGTGTTGTTGGAGGTAGAGTTGTAGGTGGCAATGTTGTTGGGTAGAGTTGTAGGTGGCAATGTTGTTGGAGGTAGAGTTGTAGGTGGCAATGTTGTTGGAGGTAGAGTTGTAGGTGGCAATGTTGTTGGAGGTAGAGTTGTAGGTGGCAATGTTGTTGGAGGAGCAATGTTGTTGGAGGTAGAGTTGTAGGTGGCAATGTTGTTGGAGGCAGTGTTGTAAATGTTGTTGGAGGTAGAGTTGGCAATGTTGTTGGAGGTAGAGTTGTAGGTGGCAATGTTGTTGGAGTAGAGTTGTAGGTGGCAATGTTGTTGGAGGTAGAGTTGTAGGTGGCAATGTTGTTGTAGAGTTGTAGTGGGTGTTGGAGTAGAGTTTGTAGGTGGCAATGTTGTTTGGAGGTAGAGTTGTAGGTGGCAATGTTGTTGGAGTAGAGTTGTAGGTGCAATGTTGGGAGGTAGAGTTGTAGGTGGCAATGTTGTTGGAGGTAGAGTTTGTAGGTGGCAATGTTGTTGGAGGTAGAGTTGTAGGTGGCAGTGTTGTTGGAGGTAGAGTTGTAGGTGGCAATGTTGTTGGAGGTAGTTGTAGGTGGCATGTAGAGTTGTAGTGGCAATGTTGTTGGAGGTAGAGTTGTAGGTGGCAATGTTGTTGGAGGTAGAGTTGTAGGTGGCAATGTGTTGAGGTAGAGTTGTAGGTGGCAAATGTTGTTGGAGGTAGAGTTGTTGCAATGTTGGAGGTTGAGTGTTGTGTTGTTGGAGGTAGAGTTTGTAGTGGCAGTTGTGTTGTTGAGGTAGAGTTGTAATGTTGTGTTGTTGGAGGTAGAGTTGTAGGTGGCAATGCAATGTTGTTGGAGTAGAGTTGTAGGTGGTTTGTTGGAGGTAGAGTTGTAGGTGGCAATGTTGTTGGAGGTAGAGTTGTAGGTGGCAATGTTGTTGGAGGTAGAGTTGTAGGTGGCAATGTTGTTGAGGTAGAGTTGTAGGTGGCAATGTTGTTGGAGGTAGAGTTGTAGGTGGCAATGTTGTTGGAGGTAGAGTTGTAGGTGGCAATGTTGTTGGAGGTAGAGTTGTAGGTGGCAATGTTGTTGGGTAGAGTTGTAGGTGGCAATGTTGTTGGAGGTAGAGTTGTAGGTGGCAATGTTGTTGGAGGTAGAGTTGTAGGTGGCAATGTTGTTGGAGGTTTGTAGGTGGCAATGTTGTTGAGGTAGAGTTGTAGGTGGCAATGTTGTTGGAGGAGTTGTAGGTGGCAATGTTGTTGAGGTTGTTGTATGTTGTTGGAGGTAAGAGTTGTAGGTGGCAATGTTGTTGGAGGTAGAGTTGTAGGTGGCAATGTTGTTGTTGTTGGCAATGTTGTTGGAGGTTGAGTTGTAGGTGGCAATGTTGTTGGAGGTAGAGTTGTAGGTGGCAATGTTGTAGGTGGCAATGTTGTTGGAGGTAGAGTTGTAGGTGGCAATGTTGTTGGAGGTTGAGTTGTAGGTGGCAATGTTGGAGGCAGTGTTGTTGGAGGTAGAGTTGTAGGTGACAATGTTGTTGGAGGTAGAGTTGTAGGTGGCAATGTTGTTGGAGGCAGTGTTGTAGGTGGCAATGTTGGAGGCAGTGTTGTTGGAGGTAGAGTTGTAGGTGGCAATGTTGTTGGAGGCAGAGTTGTAGGTGGCAATGTTGTTGGAGGTTGAGTTGTAGATGGCAAAATTGGAGGCAGTGTTGTTGGAGGTAGAGTTGTAGGTGGCAATGTTGGAGGCAGTGTTGTAGGTGGATATGTTGTTGGAGGTAGAGTTGTAGGTGGCAACGTTGTTGGAGGCAGTGTTGTAGGTGGCAATGTTGTTGGAGGTAGAGTTGTAGGTGGCAATGTTGTTGAGAGTGTGTAGGTGGCAATGTTGTTGGAGGTAGAGTTGTAGGTGGCAATGTTGTTGGAGGTTGTAGTGGTGTTGTGTTGTTGGCAATGTTGGAGGCAGTATTGTAGGTGGCAATGTTGTTGGAGGCAGTGTTGTAGGTGGCAATGTTGTTGGAGGTAGAGTTGTAGGTGGCAATGTTTTGTTGGAGGGTAGAGGTTGTAGGTGGCAATGTTGTTGTTGTTGTAGAGAGTTGTAAGGTGGCAATGTTGTTGGTGGCAACGTTGTTGGAGGCAGTGTTGTAGTGGCAATGGTTGGAGGCAGTTGCAGTTGGGCAATGTTGTGGAGGTAGAGTTGTTGGTGGCAATGTTGTTGGAGGCAGTGGAGGAGAGTTGTAGGTGGCAATGTTGTTGGAGGTAGTTGTAGTGTGTTGGTGGTAGAGTTGTAGGTGGCAATGTTGTTGGAGGCAATGTTGGAGGAAGTGTTGTTGGAGGTAGAGTTGTAGATGTTGCAATTTGGAGGCCAGTGTTGTTGACGGTTGGAAAGTTGTAGGTGCGCAATGTTGTTGGAGGTAGCAGTGTAGGTTGTAGTGTGTAGCAATGTTGGAGGCAGTGTTGTTGGAGGTAGAGTTGTAGGTGGCAATGTTGTTGGAGGCAGTGTTGTTGGAGGTAGAGTTGTAGGTGGCAATGTTGTTGGAGGCAGTGTTGTAGGTGGCAATGTAGTTGGAGGCAATGTTGTTGGAGGTAGAGTTGTAGGTGGCAATGTTGTTGGAGTTAGGTTGTAGGCAATGTTTTGTTGGAGAGTGTTGTAGGGTGGCAATGTTGTTTGGAGGGTTAGAGTTGTAGGTGGCAATGTTGTTGGAGGTAGAGTTGTAGGTGGCAATGTTGTTGGAGGCAATGTGTTGAGGTAGGAGTTGTAGGTGGCAATGTTGTTGGAGGTAGAGTTTGTAGGTGGCAATGTTTGTTGAGCAATGTTGTTTTGGAAGGTAGAGTTGTAGGTGGCAATGTTGTTGGAGGTAGAGTTGTTAATGAGTGTGTAGGTGGCAATGAGGTAGATTGTAGGGCAATGTTGTTGGAGGTAGAGTTGTAGGTGGCAATGTTGTTGGAGGTAGAGTTGTAGGTGCAATGGTGAAGAGTTGTAGTGGCAATGGTTGAGTAGAGTTGTAGGTGGCAATGTTGGAGGTTGAGTTGCTAGGTGGCAGTGTTGTTGGAGGTTAGAGTTGTAGTGGCAATGTTTGTAGGTTAGAGTTGTAGTGGCAATGTTGTTGGAGGTAGAGTTGTAGGTGGCAATGTTGTTGGGGTAGAGTTGTAGGTGGCAATGTTGTTGGAGTAGGGTTGTAGGTGGCAAATGTTGTTGGGAGGTAGAGTTGTAGGTTGCAATGTTGTTTGGAAGGTAAGAGTTTGTAGGTGGCGCACCTGTTCGCTCTGGAAGCCCGGTTGCAGGTTGTAGGTGGCAAGTGTTTGTTGGGGTTAGAGTTGTCGGTGGCATGCTGTTGGAGGGCAGCGCTTGTTGGAGGTTAGAGTTGTAAGGTGGCAATGTTGTTGGAAGGCATGTGTTTGTAGGGGCAATGTGGACCGCGCAGTGTTATTGCCGAGGCTAGAGTTGTAGGTGGCACTGTCTGTTAGACCGGCAGCTGTTGTAGCGCCTGGGCAATGTTGAAGGTAGAGTGTGTAGGTGGCACTGTTTGTTGAGGTAGAGTTTTGCAGGTGGCAATGTTTGGTTGAGGTAGATGTTGTAGGTGCAGTGTTTGTTGGAGGTAGAGTTGTAGTGGCAGTGTTGTTGGAGGTAGAGTTGTAGGGTGGGCAATGTTGTTGGAGGTAGAGTTGTAGGTGGCAATGTTGTTGGAGGTGAGTTGTAGGTGGCAGTGTTGTTGGATGGTAGAGTTGTGGCAATTGTTGTGTGGAGGTAGAATTGTAGTGGCGTGTTGGAGGAATGTTGTAGGTGGGCAATGTTTGTTGTTGGAGAGTTGTAGGTGGCAGTTGTTGGAGGTGGTCAATGTTGTTGGAGGCAGTGTTGGACGAGAGTTGTAGTTGTAATGATGTTGGTGGCAGTTGTTTGTAGAGGTAGAGTTGTAGGTGGCAATGTTGTTGGAGGCAGTGTTGTAGGTGGCAATGTTGGAGGCAGTGTTGTTGGAGGTAGAGAGTGGTAAGGTGGCAGTGTTGTTGAGGCTAGTGTTTGTAGGTTGGCATGTTGTTGGAGGTTCAAGTTTTGTAGTGGCAATGTTTGTTGGAGGTAGAGTTTAGGTGGCATGTTGTTGGATGGTATGAGTTGTAGGTGGCAGTTGTTTGGAGCCGTGGTTGTTGGAGGTAGAGTTTGTAAGGTGGCAAGTGTTGTTGGAGGCAGTGTTGCTCTGGAGGTAGAGTTGTAGGTGGCAATGTTGTTGGGTCCGGCAGTGTTGTTGGAGGTAGAGTTGTAGGTGGCAATGTTGTTGGAGGTAATGTTGGAGGCAGTGTTGTTGGAGGTAGAGTTGTAGGTGGCACTGTTGTTGGAGGTAATGTTGGTGGAAGTGTTGTTGGTGGCAATGTTGTTGGAGGAAGTGTTGGAGCCAGTGTTTTGTTGTGGCAGTGTGGTGGCAGTGTGTTGGTTGTTGTTGTTGGAGGCAGTGTTGTTGGTTGTAATGTTGTTGGTGGAAGTGTTGTTGGTGGCAATGTTGTTGGTGGAACTGCAGTTGGTGGAAATGTAGTTGGCGGTAATGTTGGAGGTTGTGTTGCCGGTGGCAGTGTTGTTGGAGCCAGTGTTGTTGGTGGCAGAGTTGTTGGTGGAAGTGGTAGTTTGGCGGTATGTTGGAGGTTG